TTGATTATTATTAGTCATAAAATAAAAATAATTTTATATTTCGACTATGATTCGATAGGGCACTAAATTAATTTAGAAAGATATTGCAATACTAATTTTTTAAATGCTTCTTTATCAAAAGATTCTACCACTCTTGCATTATGTATATGGCTATTAGAATTTATGACAACTGAACCTCTTGCATCACCAACAAGTACTGGCTTTAAATTAACTTCAGAATATTGTGTTATTATCTCCGGTTGTAATGCAATTGCCATGGTGATACCATCTGCTGGTGTCCACGTGTTATTATCTTTTTCTATAGCTTTTCTATTAGTTTGTTCCAAAAAACTTGCAATAGGTTTATCCAAATTATTTATAAGATTTATATACTCCTCCTGTTTGAATGAAATTCCATTATTTAAATATCAATGTAACACTCAAGTGTTTATACATATTGTACTATAGGTATTATGATACATTATGTACTTGTGAAAAGACATAAGAATATACTGTGTCTATAGGAACTATAATACTAGGTTTATCAACATTATTTAACGCTATCCAATCACTTTCTGGATCTAGTTGAAAATTAAATTCAGTTTCATTAGGCTTGAGACTTGCTCCCATTATAATATGTTGCTTTATTAAACTTAGGAAATTGGGTTCTAATGCAATTGCCGTAGCAATTGTTGTTAGAGATCCAAGAGAGATTATAGTTATTTCACCTAAAAAATAGAACAAATTAGATATGTATATATATCCAATTAATATAGATTTCATAAAGTAAAGAGAGTATTGTGTATAATTTTTTTTAAATAAAAATAATTAACCTGGATATTTTTTCACTAAGTCTACATACGCTACAGAAGCGTGTTTCGATCTGTCGATTTTTGCAGTTATTTCTTGGGTAAAATTAAAATCTCCAAATCCATCATCGCCAAAGAAATTGTCAGATTCATATTTATTTATTAATGGTTTGTCAGCACCAGCATATACGAGTTTCTGTCAAGTTTTGAATAAATTATTGTTTTATATATATAACAATAATACATATAGAGTGTTTTAGAAATAGTTGGCCAAACTCTAAGAGCATATTCCACTCATCATAAAGATGACAGAAAGTCATGTAAACATGGTTTCGAAAACGCTCCTTTCCAAGTTATAAATTTTTATTTTATACTTATATCTGTAATTTATTTTATACTTGTGTCTATATTTTATTTTATACTTGTATCTATTTTTTATTTTATACTTGTATCTATATTTTTATTACAGAAATTGCTGGAAATAATTTTCTTCCACATCGACGCATGCTTCACATCGACGTCGCATGGATTGTCAAAGACGTTCAAAAATTCTCGGAGTATTTTGTATTTTTAGGACTCATTGCTTGGCCTGCACATTCTACCGATTTGAATCCTTTGGATTTTTATTTATGGGGACATTTTAAAACACTCGTGTATGATATTCCTGTTGCTACTGAAAGTACGAAATCGCTGCGTGTAAAAAAATACGAAATACTCCGAGAATTTTTGACAATCCATGCGACGTCAATACGAAGCATGCATCGATGTGAAAGGAAATCATTTCCAGAATTAATTTCTGTAATGAAAATATAGATATAAGTATAAAATAAAAAAATATTTATAACTTGGAAATGAAGTGTTTTCAAATCGATATTTATATGACTTTTTTTCATCCTAATATTGAATATGCTCTTAAAGTTTGACCAACTATTTCTGAAA